CGCCTACGGCTCGGCTTCTAAGACACGGTAGGACTTCCTAGACAGGTCCCGGGCGACTAAATCGCTTACTGTCTCTCACGGCTGAACTTCCTGCGAAGCTCTGCCCTAGGTGTACTGTCTTGCGATGTCTACCTTCTCGCTGCACTAAAGGCCTTTCGTACCTATTGCAGCACTAACTCTGTGTTACTAGCTCGCACTAACAACACGCTCTAAAACTTAGTTAGAAGACAGTCCGCCTAAGGCTTATGTCTAATTGGGATCGAATACAAAATGTAAGGGGCTGCGCTCTAGGGAGCAATTGCGAGGTATACAAGAGGTTGTATTCGATAAGGAGCTATCTACTCTGCTTACGTGGTGTTTATTTACTTATCGGAGAAAGGTTATGCCGGAGTATCTGAGCGCGTTGTCTGAGCGCTGCTCGGTCTGAACGTAGTTCAGATGGTGCGCGCGCAGCTTGGCCCGAGATTCCATCGAGGAGCTATCCAAAGGGCGTTCAGCCCGTTACAAAAAGTACTTAAGTAGGTTAGCGATATATACTATAGGCTCTAGAGCTAGTCCTAGTATAGTTGCTTAAGTAATATATGAAATAATTACTAAAGGCGCTTGGCAAAGCTGTATACGGGTGCCCGACAACAAGAAATGCTAAGCTAGTATTAGATCATCAGTAGATATTCAGCTGTAAAAATCCCAACGTGTATCCCGAGAATTGAAGTATTTCTTTCTTATTTTCCGCTGACAAGATACAGTGCTACATCAGGTCTGAAATATGCTACTGTAAACAGAGCCGCTACTCGAACATGATATTGCTGCGTTGAGATACGCTATATAATAGCCATGTAGTAATAGTTGGTGTTTGTTAGGATCTTTCAGCCACATGGTGGTGCAAACTTGGCTGCATCATGACGTCACTGCACAAGCACGTCGAATGCTGTACGCACACACATCAACTTGCGTTTTGAAAGCGCTGGTGTAGGTTGGCTCGTTGGGCCGCATGCCAGCGACGCCGAGTTGTGTAGATGCTGGACAAGTGTCGGTACAGAAGCCTCACAGCCGCTTGGTTTAAGAGTGAGAGCCAGAGCAGCAGAGGCGTGCCGCACCCCAGTCGGCGTTTGTCGATCTGGACGATCAGTTTAGCGTGGCCTGGTGACGTCGCCAGTGCCAGCGCCTCATCGTCTCAGTCACTCCCACTACCACTCCCGCCAATCTAACCCACTACCAACTCTTGCAAGCCGCCTCGTCAGACCAGGCGCAATCACACGCCATGCCCAGCAGCCTTGTCCAGCCAAGCGCCTGTCCTGTGTGCCAATGACGACACGGCCACTTGGTTCCCGCATGAACGCCATGGCTCCATGTCCACAAGCTTCACCAAGGGCCACTCTGCCGCCTTGGATGCATGCAACTATGGCCCTTTTCGCTCGCACCCCCTCATCAGAAAAAGTGATACACGTCCGTCCCTACAGAACACAAAAGTTTCGATAGGAACTTCCTACCCAGTTATCTTTACAACCACAATAGCTTTTTAAAATCTATCTTAATATTATTGTACTACTACTATAGTAGTACCTATTAAGAAGAAAGAGGTTGTAATTATCTAAAGGCTGCACTTAGCACTGTTCGATAGTAAGCTACTATATGGCGCTAGCTGAAAGGCAGCTTAGGAGTTGTATCACTTTTTCTGATGAGGGGGTGCTCGAGGCTCCGATCCCGCTGCGCTTTGCCCTCAGCCCTTGGCCTTGAATGCCGTACTTACAAGGCTTCCATCACCGTCAGGCCACTAGTCGGAATTCCGGTGCCGAACCATGCACCATGACATTGGTCACTTCATGGTAGCGTTCCAAAACCCTGCTGCTATGATGCAAATGCACATGGTGAATGTTGCTGCGGACTCACTTATTACATGGAGGGGGGTTGACGTGGTGGATAACGACATTGCCATTCGTCTTTCTACAGCAAAATCTCTGCTTTATTCCGGCGACAGCCATGTCTTCGCAACAAGGCAGCCATCGCGGAGGTGGATCCTCACTTTCTGCCCTCGTCTCAACTCTCGTGCCCAGTTTTCTTGTAGCGGCAGTGCTTGTCGGTGCATTTCTGCTGCTACGCAACAAACAGAGACGTCTATATGCTCCACGCACGTACAACGACGCACTCTTAGACGAGTATGCTCTTCATGCTTCAACTGTGAAAACATATTGCTGAGAATTCCCTAGTGAGAAAACACCGGCAGCAGGACAGAGCTTCCTGGGCTGGGTCAAGAAATTTACCAGTATAAGCGATGAATATGTTCTCAATCACCACTCCCTAGATGCCTACCTGTACATGCGTTTCCTCAAGATGCTCACCTTGATGTCCTTTGTGGGTGCCATCATCACGTGGCCTGTCCTGTTCCCCGTCAATGCCACAGGTGGAGTTGGCCAGTCTGGCCTGGACATTCTCAGTTTCTCCAACGTGGACAGTCAGGCGCGCTACTTTTCCCACGCATTAGTTGCATGGGTCTTCTTTGGCTGGGTATTGTTCTTAATTGGAAGAGAGATGGTGTACCTTGTCAAGGTCCGAAAAGCCTACTGCCTGACGGCGTGGAACGCGAGCCGCATCTCCCAGCGTACCGTTCTCTTTACCGATGTTCCGCAGGCCTCTCTATCGCTGGCAAAACTGCAAACCATGTTCCCAGGTGTAGCTCAAGTCTGGCTTGTACCCAAAGTCGACGACTTGGAAGACGACGTCGAAGAACTTGAAAAGACAGTTCCCAAATTAGAGGCCAGCGAGGTGAAATTCTTAAAGGCAGTTACCAAGCAGCAACGAAAGAAGGGTGGCGAAAAGAATTCGTACGACGAATCATTGCGACCAACAAACAAGACCCAGTTCCTCATCGGTCACAAGGTCGACTCTATTGGCTACTACCGCGATCAGATTAAAGAGTTGCTCCCCAAGATTCAGACGGCACAGCGTTCTCATCTTGCCGGAAAAGAGAAGCTTGTCACCGCCGTTTTCATCGAGTTTGATACCGTCGCAGCGGCAGAAGCCGCCTTCAAGGAAAACCACCATCGCCGACCTGCCAAGTTCAGCTCCAGACAGATGGGAGTTTTGCCCCAAGACGTCATCTGGAAGAACCTCAACATGGGATCCAAGAGTCGATTCCTGCGACGCCTCATCGCCACCATTTTTATCTCGGTCATGATCATCTTCTGGGCGATCCCTGTGACGGTTGTCGGTGCCATTAGCAACGTGAACTACCTCACAGAGAATGTGCCCTTTTTGTCTTTTATCAATGACATTCCTGATTTCATCCTCGGTGTCGTCACAGGGCTTTTGCCCGTAGTGGCCCTTGCCATTTTGATGGCCTTGGTACCCGTCATCTGTCGTCGTATGTTACCAAATTTGGAATTCCTTCAAAACTCTCAACTGACATGTTTACAGTCGTTGCCAAGTTTTCTGGTGCAGTCACCGTCTCTGAAGTCGAGCAACAGACGCAGAAATGGTATTTTGCCTTTCAAGTAATCCAGGTCTTCCTGATCACAACATTTACCTCCGCCGCCGCCGCAGTAGCCAGCCAGATTGTCAACGACCCCAAGAGTGCCATCACATTGCTATCCAAGAACCTGCCAAAGGCCTCAAACTTTTACATTTCATACTTTATTCTCTTCGGTCTCGCAAACGCCTCAAGATATCTTTTCAATGTAATGGGCTTGGTGGGTGTCCTCATCCTGAGCAAGTTTGCCAAAACGCCTAGGAAGCAGTACATGCGCTATGTGGCATTTACAGAGCCATCATGGGGAGCAGATTACCCCAAGTGGACAAACTTGGGTGTCATTGCACTCTCATATGCTACCATTGCGCCGCTCGTCTTAGGATTTTCAACTATCGGTATCGGACTAATCTATCTTGCGTACAGATATAATATGTTTTACGTCCACGACACTCATGTTGACACCAAGGGTGGTTTTTATGCGCGCGCTTTGGAGCAGCTCATGGTCGGCGTTTACATCGGAGAACTCTGTCTGCTGGGTCTATTTGGTATTGGAATCGGCGGCAGTATCACATCTGTTGGACCGACCGTGCTGCAAGTGGTTCTGATTGGCGCAACCATCATCTTCCAACTCTTTATGAAGCGAAAGATCAAGCAGCTGGACTTGCTTGATGAGTCAGACTACCCGAAACAGGAGCATGATGCTGAGGCTGGACGCTCGTTGGGGGCTAAACGCATGAACCCTGGCTACAACAGCGGTCGATCAGAGCAAGCTCTTGTCTCTCGCTACAATGAAGAGCAGCGAACTACCAACGGTTCCGAAGCTGCCGGCATGGCGCCTCCTGCCAACATGCCACCCCAGCGATCACTCTTCAAGAGGATGTTCTTGCCGCACACCTTGTCTACCAGCGAAATCTCCGCATCCCTCATCCCTCGGTTCCATCAGCCCGTCCCACCATACACGGAACAAGACGTTCTCGAGGCCTACATGCATCCAGCGTTGGCTGAACGCCGAGAAGTTATCTGGCTTCCGAGAGACCGCGCAGGTATCAGCAGAAACGAGGTTGCTGGGTTACAGGAGAGCCTCGGTCCATATGGTGTTGAGGTCACTGATGAAGGCGCGACCATGAATGAGAAGGGCAAGGTAGAATTGAACTTTGGCAGTGTACGCCAGGCGCCTCTCTGGGACCACAAGATTATTTACTAAGTTTGTTGTTGTTTTTTTCATGTGCCGGTGGACTGAAACTTGTAATGATAATGCTATACGAATACCCTGTACTATACGTAACCCTAGCTAAGATTGATAGTTGCAATGTCATGTGAGAGCTAGCAGATGCGCTTCAACGCCTCGCCCAAGTTCCAGTCAGCCCATCATCGGCCCCGCACCAGCCATTCTATCATCGAGTGGCTGAGAAAGGGGGCGTAGTACGTGTCAAAGCTTCGGACTTGCTCCGCCATCGTCTAGTGGACATGTCGCGGAGCGTGCTACGTCTCAGACTATGACGTCTTCCGACCATGATCTCGAGCGTCACGGTGCCAACTTCCAAGTACACAAGTAATGGGTATAATAAACGCGCTGCTGTGAGCCCTTTTGCAAATGGATCATTTTGCATTGAAATCCTCACTGCCTCCTTTGAACCGAAAACCCCGATTCTGCATATCTTACAGACCATATTATACATACGCAAGCAAAAAGACACGCACCAAAATGCCTCGCAACGGAGACGGATCCAGTGACAATGGTCCTATCGAGGGTCACGAAATCCTGCATGGAATGACCGGGGATGTATGTGCTCTGGCTGTCAAGACATCTAGATATAGTATCGTCGATGGAAGAACCATGTACTGACACGTGACACGTAGGATTCACTTCAACACACAAAGCACGCCGCACCGATGCCCGCGGCAGAGCACGGAGATGGTACGTCCCCTGATGTCGCTACATGTTACAAACATGTGCCAAGCATTTATATACTTACGAACCAGCACAGCTCTTCCAGGCATGTCGGGCGGCGGCACCGCAGCCACGGTCCCCGTATCCATCAACGGCACACAGCAAAGCGATGTCGTCGAAGCGTCGGAGGAGTCCTCATCCACATCCATCTCTAAGAAGCGTACTGAGCCCCACCACGCCTCGCCCGAGCGCTCGCAGCTCGACCAGAAGTTCACAAAGCTCGACGCGGACGAAGTCGATATCGCGGCCGCGCAGACCGAATCGCAGGAGCGCGGAGCGCGCGCACAGAGACGCAGTGATGCGCTTGGCGAGACCAAGTCTGAGAAACAGCAGAAAATGGGTGGTACGGAAGAAGCGAGCAAGTTTGGGGGCCATGCTGACGTCGAGGCGTTGCATGGGGCTGCCACATTGGAGGGGGATAAGAGTAGCGAGGGTGCTGGGAAGACGAAGAAACAGGGAAATGGAGCCGTGGAAGTACACGATGCGGACATGTTGCAGAGGAAGAAGGCAGAGAAGTTTGGGGGCGTCAATCTAGAGAACGAGGGACAGACGACGGCGAATGCGAGTAAGCCTACTGGTGAGAATGGCGGTGCGCATGCGGGCGAGCATGGCGAAACCCATGTGAATGGTAAGGAGCAACAGATTGGAACCAAGACTGCGGGTAGGAAGGATTCCCTGCCGGTGGATGGCAAGGAGAGCGGCCATGCTATGGATGGCAAGGGGAGTGGTAATGGCGCTGTGGAAGTGCATGAGGCTGATAAGCTGCAGAGGAGCAAGGCAGCCAAGTTTGGTGGCGTCAACCTTGGAGACGAATAATTGTATTTCTTTTTTTTCTTGGTATACATGGTTCACCGATATCTCCACGTGGAATGTGTATCCATCTGATACAGAAGAAGTGTTTTTTGTGTGGGGCATTGAGCCCAAGTGTTGCCATGTGGAAGATTAGTGATATACAAAGGGAAAAAAAAGTAACCACTTCGTGTCTGTGCCATTGCCACATGTCCACCGATCAAGCCATGGATTGTTATTTTTGGGATTTCCTGTAAAAGTTGGGCTGGGCCATTTCATTACGTCAATAATTGACGCAGCTTGCCATTTATTTTGTTATATACACCGAGCTTTGCAGTGTGTGAGGCGGGTGGTGGCAATGATTAACCCATCCACAACCATCCACTCGCTCTTGTCATGTTATGCAGGTTCCGCCGCAGAGCCTTCACGGTCTACGTAGTGTCCTGAACCCATGGCGAATCTGAGGCGTACTTGAGTTACCACCCGTGCCGGCACGACATCCAGCAATGACATCAGGGAACAACTGAGTCGTGTTCGCATCCACAACTAGGTACTGGCATATCTCTGCGGATTCGTCGCGCACGGCATTGATCTGCTCTTGGGTACACGAGCTTAGATCCCAAGTGTAGCAGTATGTTAGCGCGTCGGTGGTATACGCCTCAAACTGCACATCTGGATCTGGACGCCCTGTGCTCATGTACGTGCTTGTCTCGTCTGTGCCCGCAGTCGACTCGGTGCCAGTCGCAATGTCGAGATTGAACAGCGCACGCGTGAAGATCTTGAAAGCGGTCTCGGGCTGGTAGGCGGGGATGGCGTGGCCGGCTTGATAGGTGCGGACGAAGCTCAGGTTTCCGTATTGGCGGACCAAGCCGCCGATGTAGGAGTCGTTGGTTTGGATCTCGGCATACTGTGCAGATGCATACCCGGCAGACCCTGTCCAGTTGATTGCTTTGGCTACGGCGTCACCACCACCCCACTGCGAGGTTTCCTGTTAGCGAGAATCATAAAGTTGGCTGCATCGAGTACGGTACTCACCGGACAAGCAAAGTCAAGATCACCGTAGACTAGCGATACTTTGATGCCATTGTCCAGGAGGAAGCCGAGGTCTTCAACCCAGCCCTCGCGTGGGTAGTCGCCGATGCCACGATAAGCTGCCGAAGCCTGCGGAGAGTTACCCGTCCAATTAAGGGGAACGCCGAGCTCAGCCTGGACCCACTCACGGTTGAGAAAGCCCTCGTGAAAGGGTGGTGGGAAGGGTGGAGGAGATGGTGTGGAAATGTCGTAGTAGTCGCGTCCGGCATAGTTAGAGATTGTATGGCGTGACAATTTGCGCGCGGCAAAAGCTCTCGGCATCCTCACAAAGCTTGTTGACACGAGCGTCAATGCCCAGGTTTTCTGGATCAGACTCAGCAGCAGCATCGCGGCAGGTCTGGATTTTCTCCAAGCACTCTGGGATAGCTGCCACCATGCCGTTGTAGATTGTCTCATTGACGGCTTCAAGTCCGTATCCGTTGCCTCGATACGCTTGTTGCGGGTAATAGGGATACTGGATATAGCGGTCAACGCAACCGGAAACAAGAAGCAGCGTATCAAGGTGCATGATGTAGCCCTCTTTCAGAGTGCCGTTCTCGATCCGCTGGTTTTGTTCCTCCCAGAAAGACATCATGGCAGGTCCGTAACGTCCGCCATACGACTGAGCAGCAAGGCTGATGCGCGTGTCATTGGGGAAAATGTGAGGAAACTCTTGGAACCATGCTTGTGCAAACTCCCACGCTGCAATCGCTCCGTTGACACTACCAAACGCGGTGTTATTAGGTTTACGACTGGGATAGGTGCCTGTGAGAAAAGTAGTGTTTTGCTCGGGGACAGGTGTCGTTTCATTCAACAGCTTGACTTCTCCGGTGACAAGGTTTCGGGTGATGTTTTGCAATGTATCGTATGAGCTAGTAAAGTAGGTCAGTTGGTGGCAGGGAGAATTTGTGTCTAGTTGCACGTACAAGCCGACCTGTACTGGCTGGTCGAGGTAAAGCATGTTCGATGCCCTGTTCCAGCTCCATTCCGACGGTCGCGTCGTATTCGAGTCGGGGTTGGCAAGACATGGCCCATTTTCCTCGAGCAACGCATACATGGAAGAGGACCCGGGTCCGCCATTCAGCCAAATTGTAAATGGCGCATTGGCCGGATCATCGCGGGCTTCAAAGAACCAGAAGAACTAGATTTGAGACTTAGAATTGCCTCGAGGGCGTTGTGAAGATATCCCCGACTTACACTATTGATGGGGTAGTCTTGTCCTTGACCCAAGTCTGCTGTTCCAGGGGGCAGATACACGTGACCAGAATAGGATTTGACGTCTGGTGTAGTCTCACAGAGGCCATTCTACACGTTGTCAGAGAAACCTGACTTGGCTTGGAATCGACATGTTCCGGTGGTAGCCGACCTCCTTGTAGGTAATTGTGACACCGTCTCCGAAACGTGACTCAAGCACCTTGCGACCAGCAGGCTCGGCTGGAAATTGAGCAAGAGTGGGGACAGCCGAAAATAGCAGCGTGAGAGCTGCACAACGAGCAAATGGAAACATTTCGAAAATGATTGTTTCTACCAAAGTACCAAGCATGAACATGATAGTATTTATGTACGCACCACAGGGGCTACAAAGCCAACATGTTCCAAGCAGCATTTAACCCTTCCTAGCCTTCTCATTATCTCTACAACAAGGCATCGTTATCCAATGCGTACTTGGCGGATTCTTGGAGTACTTTCAAAGTGGATGTTCTCAAGTTCGGTTGGCCACATTGGGAAGGTGGGAGAAGCGGTTGCCAAGTACCAAGTCTTGCTAGGAGCGGGGTGTTGTTGTTATGTGCGATAGCGCGAACTTCACGCCGTCATTGTACGCAAGCACAGAGATCCTGCCGTGGCTGGGTTTGGTCAGATATGCCCTAGAGTGCAAGATCAGAGTGTACAGACGACGGTAAGTACGGCGAAATCTGGAATGGTACCTCGGCACCTGGAGACCAGAATACCGCGCTTGCCTAAGATGCAGGGATGATCCCATAACCACGCTGACGACGGTTCGCGGGACGTTCGGATGAGCTAGAGTAGGCTTGACGGAAACAAGGTTGTCCTCGGCGTTTAATGACTCTTCTCTAACGGCTTCTGAAATGCAATGTTGGACTTGTTGTCGTGGACTGTATTACATGACTCTACTTGGCAGCTTGCTCGTCCATGTGTCGTATGTGAGATTCAAGCACGGCAGAACCAATGTCAGAATATATGGCTCGCAACTTGGATCGTAGATGAAAGGCTCCAAAGCATTTCCTGTGAAGAGTAAGACCGCCATGATGTTTGAAAGTGTCGGCAGTGACACTTTGGGGATCGCAATTGGTACGCTTTACGTGGGCAGCCATCTCTGCATAGTCGTGTGATTCGAACGTGAGGATCTCGGCGGAACTGGCATGGTCATACAGCTGTTGAATACTCAATGAGGTGTCAGATGCAGTGCGTCGTACGGGGTACAGGTTGCTCTCTAGGAGGAACGAGATGAAGGAGCCTAGGACCATGGCCCGACACTTGGGTTCGCATGATTCGTCGACTTGACACACATAGACGTGGGTGATATCGTCCAAGATATCATACAGCACATCAAGCATGGCGGTCAGCGTCTTTTCCCGGATTTCCATTATGCGCTCTGAAAGGGGGATTCGTATTAGCAGACTTTATAACGGTCAGGTTGAGGGCTATAGAATGACTCACCAAGAAGCGCTGGGGGCATGTGGAGTGGAAAGGCTTGGCCACTGTCCATCATGGCATTCCCACGCTGATCCAATCCAGTCCGTTTGACCACGTACTTGGCGAGACCCTGGAAGCTATCCTTGTAGCCAAAGGTCCATGCTACAAAGAACCAGGCAGGGTGGCACTTCTCTCCTGACGTGATATCAGGGTAGTGGCACTGGGCCCAGCCGTAGAGGTCGAGGAACGGGCGGACGAGCTTGACAATGTCGTACCTGTCACACACGACGGAGAGGTGGAGCAGAGCATCGATGGTGAGGCCGTTCTTCTTGGGCAGCTCATGGAAGCGGAGATGGGCGATGCGGAGGGCAATGTGCATGGCATCGAGCTCGTCGTCGGGCAGTGGTAGGGTGGCGGTCCCGTTGTCGCTCCAGTGGCGCTCGAATATCGTCTTCCAAACGGGGCTAGCGAGCATCATGGCGGTCCTGGATACCTGGACTGGCTGGTGGCCGGACGAATCAGTGCCCAACATGAGGATGGAGTCGCCCGTGTCATCGAAAACAATGGTCGGCTGCAGCTCTGAGGCGTCGATTGGCCGGGTGTCGGAGAGGGTCGCCTCGTCGTCGGATGCGTCGCCGGCATCGCCACGGGGCGGAGGTGAGGTCTCAGGGGCAGAGCGGCCCCGAAGAAGAAAGCTGGAGCGCCAGAGCATTCAGCCAGCCTCGTGCTGTTGTGTGTGCAAAGGCTCGCGGTGTGCCGGCGGCGTGCCCCGTGACGTCTTGGCCGGGAGGGCAAGGCGGATGTGTTGCATGGGGATGCACATGTTTTCATGGGCGTGGACGCGCGCGCGCAGGCATGCGTGGCCCGTGCGCGCGGAGCCAGTGTTGACATCTCTGCCGCGCGTCAAGAAGAACAGACCAACTCTCTGCCATCCTCGCCCTCGCCCTCGCCCTCAGCATCGTCTGCTTGCCTCCGAGGCGGTGAAGGCCTCCCTCCGCCATGCCCATACTCATCCTACTTACTACATGCCCCATTACACCAGCGGCTGCACCGCGACGTGCGTGCGGCTTGGCCGAGCCTTGGCCGCGACCTGCACTGCACTGCATCTTGCCACCGCAAGGCTCAACCTCTGTACTGACGCCGCCCGACAGCAGCATCTGCCATACTATGTGCGTACGTACGTATACGCACGAGTACTGTACAGCCTGTGTCTTTGACGCGGCCCCACATTGGCCTGGGAAAGGAGACGGCCGCCTGAGGCCATGATGCCTTGCCTACCGGGACCCAAGCCTCGGAGCGCGCGACACCAGCCCAGCCCTACCGTTATGCTGCCTTGTGGCCGCTCTCCACGCCTCGGCAGGCCCCCGCGGAGAAGCAGGCAGCACATCATGCTACAACTCGCCCTCTGCTGCTGCTGCTCCGTGACAGCGGCTCAGCCAGCCTGCCCACGGCCTCCTCCGCCATTACGAAACACGGCTCTCACAAGCACCCCCCCAATGGCTGCATCCTATCACAACTGATATGCGGCACGCCTAGCCCTGCGAGTCGCGCCCTTGAGCATGCGAATGCCCTGCTGACGATAGGCCTTGAACGGCCACGGCAACACGCCATTATTCAGGTGACCTTTCTCGTCTGTCGTCTTGATTGCACCCAGGTCCCTGCGTTCATATTAGGTCACCTTTACATACACCAGGCCTGCTGTTTGCTCCAGCTATCCAGACTGCTCAGCGTTAGCCATGCACCATGTACACTCGCTCTGGATTGCACAAGCCAAACATTGAAACCCCCCCAGCGCCCGCCAATAAAGACGCTATACCAGTGCAATGGTATCACTACGCATGCATTTGCATGTTGTGGCATTGTCTTGTTGCTTCGAGCGAGCTCAACATGCCTGCAGGGATCCGCCGTGGCACCCGCAAAAGTCGCTCGGGCTTTGCTCATTTTTTTTTCTCTGCCCTCCCGGGTTTGCATAAAGTTAGCCATCAAATAAGAACTGGCTAGCAAATCCGGGGCCGGGCCCGTTGCACGGAATTAGCAGCGCAGGCACAGCCTCTGAGAGCTTCGCAATCTCATGGGTGGCAGCTAAGGTGGGCATGGCCGAAGGTTATCTGAAGCGCACACTTAAACAACTAAAAGCCGAGTGGATACGGCCTTTGCGTCCTTATATCAAAGGCACATGCACATGTCGCTCCATGATGACTACTCGTGTAGTAATACCGGCCATGGGTATGCCCAGGGTGAATTTTTTTTTGAACTTGCCGATCAGCACATGGCGCCATAAAGACGCTACTGATCAAATCCTACCGGGGCTCCGATGGGTATTGCGTCCAAGTGGTTGCACAATGTCAAAGACGAGAGTGGCAGACAGAGTCATCGTCACAGCGTTTCAGATAACGATGCAGATTTGGTTACATTGTGAGTCGGATGGACCGGGACGAGTCAGCAGGTTGGGCTTCATCAGCAAGGATTCTAGCACGTGCACGATGATCTCCAGCAACGTTTGGGATTTGGCAAGCGAAACTTTATCACAGCATCATCGAATCACGGCGAGTTTCAGCCTTCGGAGACTCGGCTGCCTTGCTAAGTACCTCCAAACGCCACCCTTTAACAGACGCCGCCGACGAATGAGACGGCCACCATTTGCATCCTACTAGGTAGTAGGTGAGATGCGGGCCAGCTACCAGAAGTTACGAGCCGACCAGCACTCCGATTGTCGTTTTGGCCTCATCTCGCTGCTGCGACTCACCCCTCAGAGCGGCCATAGCTTTAGGCAAAGCGCATCACAACACCCGAGGTCATGACCACAGGTACTCTCGTTTCGAGTAGTACCCAATAGGCCCAGGTACTTGCGCTGGCCACAACGCCCGTTAGCCAGCCGAGCTGATCAGGGCCTCCTGCCGCCAAGCCAGTATTGAGCCGAATGGTCGGACACGTTCTACGCCACAAGAAGTTTCCATCGAGGTGACCATAGCTTGCCGTGTGTTAAAAGTGTTCGCTTCATTACATTGGCTGTTACTCATGTTCCCGGACACGGTCAACCCGCCTCGGCCCTCCGTCCTTTTTTCTCGTCGCGTGCAAAATGAAACTTAAAGCCACCTGACTAGGCCTTCTTTCTCCGACACTTTCCATCATGTAATACAGCCATCAGGAATGCCAGATTGGACGTCACAGCCGCCCGCACCGGAGATAGCACGTCACACAAGGCGAGATGCAAGGCCGTTGAGCTAGACATACACGAGTCGAGCGTGTGGACAACCGCCGCACTACTGCTACCACCTACTCGGCACCAGTCCATGTCTTCAGCTTCCGACTCGCCCTTCAAGCCCCCACCCATCGTCGAATGCACCTCTGGACCCCATTGTCTCGGCATCGGCAAGAAAGTCCACGTTCCGCATCGTGTCTGTCCCGACTGTCTCCAGCGACACGATCCCCAGCAGCTCCGCGTCTGGGCACACTCGAACCCTGGTGCCATCCTGTCAATCAACGAAGAAACTGCCCGCAAACACGTCCTAAAAAGAAATATCGAAGCCCGTGGCCGCTTCCTTTGTGCCTTTGAAGATCCCGACTTCCAGCACTGCAGGTGGCGACTGCTAGACTTGAATCTTCGCGGCACACGCCTTGACTGTCCCTCTGTCCGTCGAAAGGGCACTGCTTGTACCAAGTGCTGGAGGAGACGCCTGCGGAAAATCAAAATCTTGCAGCACTTCACGCCGACGGGGCTCTGTCATGAGGAGGCAGACAAGATCGTAACCAGGTCGGCAAGCCCGGAAGACGGCAGCGAAGGGTCCGACGACGATGTTGAGGGCTACAACGTGCTCTTAGATTCAGACTAGACATAGTTTAAACCTCTTATTTTTTTCTCTTTCTTTTTGTAAGTCACTCCGTCTGTGTCGACATCACTGCTAACGCATCAAGATTTTATCACACTGTACGTCTGCTTGTCATGTTGCCACCGCCTCCAAAGACTTACTGCGCCTTCGGCACTGCTTGTGACTCGTGTCCAGAGGGACGAGAACGCGGACTCGACATATGCTCATGGTGTAAGAACATGAGCTTTGATGAGCTTTACAAGCGAGCAGAGACGCAGCCCGACAGCGAGCCCATCAAGCACATCATCAACGCATACAAACAGCAACTCGAAAGGGACAGTGCCGAGCGTATCAGAAAAGGGTGGACATTTCTATGTGCCTGTAAAGACCCAGCATATCGCTCTCAAGCCTGGCGTCGCGACTTCAACCCAAAAGACTCGCGTCTCTGTGGCACGGTACGCCATCGCGGACAGCTATGTACGCGCTGCCTTCGCAAAGCAATCGAACAAGAGTGCTCGTGGCTCGAAGAGTTTGACGGCGACCGCGTCAGGTTCCCATGCGCGTTCGAAGACGCCAGGCTGCGACGGCGCATCGATGCCAACTGGAAGACGGGACCAGTCGACAAGTACGGGCAGCCAGACCCAAGCTGGGAGAAGGACCCAAGAAGAGACGGTCGTTGCGAGAGAGCCAGGTTCCGCAACCAGCTCTGCCAAAAGTGTTACAACCGCATGTGCGAGATCCGAGGCTTTGGGCGATACTTTGACTCGGAGTGGGGCATACTTCGCAAAAGATATGCGGCGTGACAGAGGGACCCTGGACTGCGATATCGTCGCCATGACCCCGCACTTGTAATTACAGGATTCAGGGGCACGCAAAACTTGGCCTAATTTGTTGGGCAATTCAGATGCAACCTGTCGGGTGTGTGGGGACATTGGGCTGCGCAGTCGATTGGTGTTTTTTTCTGAAAAGCCATCTGATGCTTTTCGGTCTGTTTGCGTGTCCGGACTGCCCGATTAAGGTTAGGAAGATAGGATCATGTGGTCACAGTATCACGACTTTGTGGGTGCCGTGGTGCAACCCAAGCGGGCGTTTCTCAGCAAGCATATTGGAGACACGGCCAGAAGCGCAGGATATACCTGGTGACATGGGGGCAAGAGGTGTGCAGGGCATGACATCAGGTGGAGATTAAGGTTTGTGGTGGACGAGGTATGGCCAATCATGGGTGGTCAATGCCATGACATTCCAAGATACGCAAGCGAAACACCTCACTGGATGACGATGTATAAGCAAGCCATAGCTGTGGGAAGAGTCGAGCTATACAGCAGAGTGCATAGTGGCAAAGGCAGGCATCTATGGCCACAGCTCTCAAGACTGGGGATACCTTACACACACGCGTGGGGGGGAGGGGGCATGCCACATAATACTAATTCACAATTTTAACTCTAGCCGGGATTCAGTCACGGTATAGCCAATGCCACGTGTTGTGACTTCGCCGCGCGTCAGTAGTTGGTACAGTATTGGTAATCAAGAGGTCGAGGTGCTCAGAGTTCAAAGGGTCTCGCCGCAAGACGCCTACGCTGTAAACTTTGGGCAGACGGAAACAACCGATTCTGACAAGTGCCATGTCCTGTGCTCCTCATGGATGTGGTATTTATCAAGGTCTTCACTGGGAGCAATCAGCTCCGCAGTGCGTACATGGTGGTTGAGCAACCCCAAGACACTAGCAAGTTGTGTGGAGCCACTGTATAAAGTACAGGGTGTGGTGTGGTATAGGCTGCCCGCAGAGCCGTATAGGCTCTTCCCCTCTGTTAATACAGCCAGTATTTTAAAGCCACGTCTGCTATTTTCATGCAAGTCTAGTGTGGTAGTCTTGTCGACGTGTGGGAGACGCAGGAACGCAAAGTGTCTGTCTGGTATCTTTTCATTGCGAATCTAGTGCGAGAATTGGGGGTAGAATTGTCCAAGCGGGGGGCTGGAGTAGGCACTGCTAATTTTGGATCCTGTTGAGGGGTGGGAAGCTAGGCGAGGTGGAATGGGCGGCGTGGAATCTGCTTGGGTGTGGAACAGACTGGAGGAGAAAGAACACGAAGAACAGGAAAGGGTCTTGTTGTGGTTTTGGTTAGGCTGTGTTTCACAAGAATATAGGAAGGGCGGCTTTCTCGGTCATCGGGAAGCACTAGGTGTTGGAGATGAGTGCTCGTGCTAGTGGAAACCTGCTCTAGCTTGTGTTTTAAGTCGGCCTAATTGTGTGTGTGTGTATAGCAATCAATAGAGAGTCGATGAGATTAGACGGGGAAAAGCGGTATGTGTCCATGCTTCTAATACAATGGGAAATTAGAAAGTGCCACAAACTAGTCTCTAAGACACTAGCAACTAAGATGGCGTACAGTGGGAAATTCCACTCAAGATGTATATACCAAGGGAAGCAAGACATGTGTATATCTAGAAGACTGCCCTGCTGCGCCGTTGCCGATTTGTTTTTCTGGAATCAAATTTGTTCCACGGCCAGCTGACACTGGTACTTGGCAGTGTAGATAATAAAGACCAGGTGTTCACTTGCAACAAAAGCTCGGGGAGCAGAAGATAAGCCGAGGGTGAATAGCATGTACGAGTCTCGGCACGACTAGACGACATTGCAGGGGGCACATTTGTTTCGAAGCGAGACTTGGACGGGATACCGAGCGCACACGATGGCGTCTGGTTGAGCATGGCCGGGGCAGGTCGGGTGCAAAGTGTCGAGCATATACGTGTAGACGTTGCCACATGACGTTTGGACGGAAAAACCTTGGGCGGGGCGGGGCTTCTAGAAAACGACCGCGACGGTGGTTCCTGCGGCATCCAGCCACGTCATCCAATCAACGGCATCGGGGCGCGCGCAGCCGACTAGACCCCTCCGACATGGCCGCTTTCGGGGCTCGATAAATTGTGTCGACATAAGACTCATACATTTGCCCCCCCCCCCGCCCCCTTCAATCTCTCGCCTACAGCTGCACAGCCGCTGCTTCGACCGTGACTCATCGCTGTGACTTTGTTGTACAAGGACGCTGCATCGTGCTCTCTGTTCCCTCAGCGAGACCAGCAACACTCGGCGGCGGCAATGGACGGAATCAAGAAGACGTTTGCGCAATGCAAGAAGGAGGGCAGGGTACGTGTGGAACGGCGCTGCAGCGGGAATTGGCACTGACGGGATGCAGTCGGCCCTCGTTACGTATGTGACGGCGGGCTTCCCCACGGTGGAAGAGACGCCCGACATCATGATGGCCATGGAGGCCGGCGGCGCAGGTACGCACACCAAGCAGCCCGCCCGCGATGCGATGCAAGGGAAACAGCCAATTGACCGCACCAGACATTATTGAGCTCGGCATGCCCTTCACCGACCCCATTGCAGACGGCCCCGCCATCCAGACGGCCAACACTGTACGTAGACTGATTCGCCACTCTTCGCGCGATACCCCACCTGACACTGTGTGTCTGTATAGCAAGCCCTCAAGAATGGCGTCACGACTGGTCATGTGCTCCAAATGATCCGCGATGCGAGGAAGCGCGGCCTCAAGGCGCCCATCCTGCTCATGGGATACTACAACCCGCTGCTCAGTTATGGCGAGGAGAAGATGCTGCAGGATGCAAAGGAGGCTGGCGCAAATGGCTTCATCATGGTCGATCTGCCACCCGAGGAGGCCCTGCGCTTCAGGAACTTTTGCCGCAGCTACGGGTGAGTTTGAAGGCAGATTATAATTTTTTTGGCACCATGCTGATAGTCGAGGGCAGTCTATCCTACGTCCCCTTGATCGCACCGGCCACGTCGGAGCACCGCATGCGCGTCCTCTGCAAGATTGCCGATTCCTTCATCTATGTCGTCTCCCGCATGGGCGTCACTGGCGCTACGGGAACAATGAACGCCGCCCTTCCCCAGCTTCTCGAGCGGGTGCACAAGTACTCTGGAAATGTGCCTGCCGCTGTTGGCTTTGGTGTCAGCACGCGCGACCACTTCCTGAGCGTGGGCAAGATTGCCGAGGGTGTTGTCATTGGCAGTCAGATTATCAACACGCTGCTCAAGGCTGCGCCGGGCGAGGGCGCACAGGCGGTGCAAGAGTACTGCGACGGCATTTGCGGCAAGAGCAGCCGCGCCAGCACGCGCGAGGTGGGCATTGTCGAGACTTTGAACGAGGCCAAGGAGCCGACGGGAGTGCACGTGGACAAGGTGATTACGGATGCTGACACGCCAGACGGACCCGGCCTCGCTGACCAGCTGGAGATGCTCAACACTGATGAGGCCAACGGCGAGAGCATCTTCAACGAAAAGCATAAGTTCCCGCCTCGTTTCGGCGAGTTTGGAGGGCAATATGTGCCCGAGTCGCTCATGGACTGTCTTTCGGAGCTTGAGCAGGGGTTCAATTCAGCCATCGAGGACCCCAAGTTCTGGGAAGAGTACCGCTCTTACTACGAGTGGATGGGTAGACCGGGGCATCTGCACCTTGCTGAGCGCCTCACGGAGCACGCTGGCGGAGCCAACATCTGGCTGAAGCGAGAGGATCTGAATCACACGGGAAGTCACAAGATCAACAACGCGCTCGGCCAGATACTGATTGCCAGGCGACTGGGAAAGACTGAGATTATCGCCGAGACGGGAGCCGGGCAGCACGGGGTGGCGACGGCGACGGTGTGCGCCAAGTTCAACATGAAGTGCACCGTGTACATGGGGGCCGAGGACGTGAGGCGCCAGGCTCTGAATGTGTTCCGCATCAAGCTGCTTGGTGCGCAGGTGGTGGCGGTGGAGACGGGCTCCAAGACGCTGCGCGATGCGGTCAACGAGGCGATGCGGGCGTGGGTTGTGCACCTGGACACGACTCACTACATCCTCGGATCTGCTGTCGGGCCGCATCCTTTCCCGACGATTGTGCGAACGTTCCAGTCGATTATCGGAAACGAAACCAAGCAGCAGATGCAGGAGAAGCGCGGCAAGCTGCCCGACGCGGTGGTTGCGTGCGTGGGGGGCGGCAGCAACGCGGTTGGCATGTTCTACCCCTTTTCCAAGGACATGTCTGTCAAGCTGCTGGGCGTGGAGGCTGGCGGCGACGGTATCGACACGGACCGACACAGCGCGACGCTCTCGGCGGGCACCAAGGGCGTTCTTCACGGGGTGCGCACGTACGTGCTCCAGAACCAGCACGGGCAGATCAACGACACGCACTCGGTGTCTGCTGGGCTCGACTACCCCGGCGTGGGGCCTGAGCTGTCGAGCTGGAAGGACAGCGAGCGGGCAAAGTTCATTGCCTGCACGGATGCCGAGGCGTTTATTGGGTTCCGGCTCATGTCCCAGCTGGAGGGTATCATCCCCGCACTCGAAACGTCGCACGCCGTGTATGCTGCGATTGAGCTGGCCAAGACCATGGACAAGGACCAAGATGTAGTCATTTGTGTGTCGGGACGCGGCGACAAGGATGTGCAGAGCGTTGCGGAGGAGCTGCCGAAGCTGGGCCCCAAGATCAACTGGGACCTGCGGTGTAAGTGTGGCTTGCCCCAAAGGGTACTGACGTGTGCTAACGCTGGTGCAGTCTAGAGGAAAACGAGTCGTTGTGTGCAGACACGGACACGGACACGGACACGGACACAGATACTGACACTCACACACAGACACAGGGTGCAGGTGCAGGTTGAGTGTGCAGGTGTATGTGCATGTGTGTGCACGTGTTTGTATGTATGTATGTATGTATGTATGTATGTAGGCGATGATGAAGGAATGTGCAAGAACCAATGCCCGAGACGGAGTGACATGGCTACGGGATATGCATGTGACGCATGGATCTGAGGCGGCGCTGGCAGTCCAATGGCGGAGGATGGAGCAGCACACGTTTCGGTGCGTGGTTGGCAGAGGCGGTGCAGGTAGGGCAGACGGGCGGGCAGGCGGGCAGGCGGGCAATGCACGTCGGGGGGTTTTGGCCCGGGTGGGGGGGGGGAATGCATGCAGAGCCGGCAGTGGACAGGCAGGCCCATACTGTAGCGAGCCGTGATGTGGTGCGGTGCTGCGACTGCCGACTGCCGCGTGACGGCCAAGTGGTGGTATATGGGATGCAGCTGTGTGCATGTGAGGGTGAGGGTGAGAGAGAGTGTGTGTGCGTGTGCGTGAGAGAGAGAGTGTGTGTGTGTGTGCGTGAGTGAGTGAGGTGAGTGAGCAGCGCGCACAGCCAATCGAGGCAGCACATGGGGGGACACTGCGCACTGCGATGCCGGGGGCAGCTTGGCCGTGTGGCCGCCTCACAGTTCGCGGTGACGACAGCGCACCCACCAGCAGAAACGTCCATTGTACTCTATGCCCCAGCCCGTCCTGCTTTCTCGTCCATTCCGTGACGACCAGGCCTTTGAGCTCCACGACCTCAACACCACCGCTTCCACCGCCACCGCCACTACCACCACCACCACCACCACCGCTGCTACTGCTACCGCCACTGCTGCACGCGCACAACGCCGCCGCCTGAAGCTCGAGCGGCTTCGCGAGGCCGACGAAATGAAATTTTCCCACAGCCTGCAGTTCAATGCGGTGCCCGACTGGAGCAACCACTACATAGCCTACAGCAACCTCAAGAAGCAGTACGTACACCCGCATCCAGCCATAGCCCGCCTCCGTGACGGCTGACGGGCCACCGCCGCCTGCAGCATCTACAGCCTCGAGACCCAGGTCCACCAGAAGCATGCTCGTGGAGACGCCGAGTCGTCGCCGCTGCTCAACGACGCCGCCCACGACCCGGACAAGGTCTTTACCAACGCCCTCGACACGGAGCTCGAGCGCGTCACGTCCTTTTACCGCCTCAAGGAAAATGAAATCTACGAAGAGATGGACGCCCTGCTCAAGGACGCCGACATGTTTGAAGACCACCAGGCCGAGTACAACGAGGAAAACGAGAATGCGCCCGCCGGCAAGAAGATGCGCAGCGGCAGTATATTCAAGGCCATCGGCTTCCACCGCCCACGTGCCATGAGCGGCGCAAGCGGCGTCTCCACCGACCACGGGCCCGACGCCGAGCGAGACGACGACGACTCGGACGACGAAATCGACGAGACCTCGCGCCTGCGCAAGCGGAGCCCAGATGGCCAGCGCCGCCGCCGCCGGACAAACGAGGAGGACATGGCCGCCTCGCACGCCTCGTCAAGGCGCTTGACGAGTGTAGCCTTTGAAGACTACCACGACATGGCTTTTTCCGCCCTCTACGACGAGGGCGTTTCGCTGAAGAAGCGCATCGTCAGCATATACGTGCTGCTGTGCGAGCTGCGGTCCTTCATCCAGCTCAACAAGACGGGATTCGAAAAAGTGTTGAAAAAGTACGACAAGATCATGGACCGCAAGCTCAAAAAGACGTACCTGACAAAATACGTGTACCCTGCCTATCCATTCCAGCAGAGCACCATGGACGAGCTGACGCGCAACCTCCAACGCATCGAAGCCGCATATGCGCAGATTGGCACAAAGGGCAACATTGCCGAGGCGAAGCGCGAGCTGAGATTACATCTCCGCGAGCATGTCGTCTGGGAGCGGAACACGGTGTGGAGGGAAATGATTGGCATTGAGCGCAAGGCCCAGGCTGCCAACATTGGCATCACGCAGACATTGCTCGGCCGCGAAACTGCCGGCCAAGTGCGTCGACAGGGCGACGATGCCGAATCAGACATGAAGGAGGTGGCGACGCCCATTGGAAGATATAGGTGCCCCCAGTGGCTCGTTAGCAGAACTTTTTGGATGCTACTCACCTGCATTGCCGTCTTCGTCGTGCTGCTAGTCGTGCCCATAATGGAGAAGCCCGAGCAGCAAAACTGCTTGGCCATGGTCGTCTTTGTCAGTTTGCTCTGGGCGACTGAGGTATGTCGAGTTCCAAGCCCCGACCCATTCGGCGCTAACCAGAATAGGCCATTCCGCTTTTCGTCACGTCACTCCTGGTCCCGTTCCTGGCCGTCACGCTCAACGTCGTCCGAAGCGATGTCGAGCCGCACCGCCGACTCGACTCCAAACAGGCTGCTTCCTATGTCTTCTCTGCCATGTGGACCCCGGTCATTATGCTGTTGCTGGGTGGTTTCACCATTGCTGCAGCGCTTTCCAAGTACAACATTGCAAAGATGATGGCCACTCTTGTGCTTAGTAAGGCAGGCACGAAGCCGAGGACCGTCCTGCTCGTCAACATGTTTGTCGCAATGTTTGCGAGTATGTGGATCAGCAACGTTGCCGCGCCTGTGCTGTGCTTCTCTATCATCCAGGTATGTCTCTGATTGATCTCTGTAGCGTTGACTAATGGTTCCAGCCCATTCTACGTAATCTTCCTGCCGACTCGGACATGACCAAGGCGCTGCTCATGGGAATCGCACTCTCCTCTAACATTGGCGGAGCCGCTTCTCCCATCGCGTCCCCACAGAACCTGATTGCTCTTCAGAACATGCAACCCGAGCCCTCGTGGGGTGTCTGGTTCTTTGTGGCCCTTCCCGTGTGCATCATCTCCATTTTGCTCATCTGGGTGCTTCTTCTCGTCACCTTCCAACCCGGCCGGGGCACCAGCATCGTGCCCATCCGCCCGCTCAAGGACAAGTTCACCGGAGTGCAGTACTTCATCAGCATTGTCACTGTCGTCACCATTGTTCTATGGTGTATCAGTCACCAGCTTGAATTTGCATTTGGCGATATGGGTGTCGTAGCCATTATCCCCATTGTGCTTTTCTTTGGTACCGGTATCCTTACCAAGGAAGACTTTAACAATTTCCTCTGGACTATCATCATCCTTGCTGCCGGTGGTCTCTCTCTCGGCAAGTCTGTCAACTCGTCTGGTCTTTTGCACACAATTGCTGAGTCGATTACCGCTGGCGTTGAGGGCATGAGTCTGTACGGTGTGTTGGTTGTTTTCTGCGCCTTGATCCTTGTTGTAGCAACGTTTATCAGCCACACTGTTGCCGCTCTCATTGTCCTGCCGCTGGTCCAGCAGGTCGGACAACAGATGGCCGAGCCACATCCAAATTTGCTTGTCATGGGCGCTGTGCTGATGGCTAGCGGAGCTATGGGTCTGCCCACGAGTGGTTTCCCTAATATGAGTAAGTCTAGTCGTCACCATTACCTGTATCATGCACTACTGACGAATCATAGCTGCCATTATGATGGAAGACCAGCGAACAGGACAGCGCTATCTCGCCGTCAAACACTTTTTGACCCGCGGCGTCCCTGCCTCTCTCATTACTTTTGTTGTCATTATCACGGTGGGCTATGGGCTGATGCTTGCCGTTGGGTTTTAGACTGCTACATACAATTTCATCTTCGTCTATTTGATTGCATACTGTGCGGCTGGCGTTGAATCTATGGCATCATATCAAGTGCAGAACTTGTTCCTTTTCCTTTGTTGTTAGATGCATGGCGCGTATCAGACTTTCTAGATTGCTTGCCCATGAGAACGTCATGTCACGTCGCGTACCGTGCTCCGATTGGGGAGGTAGAAGGAGATGATTGACAGTGTAGATGGAATGAATTATCAAATCAATCAAGTGCGTCTACTTGTGACTGAAATAAGTCTGGTAGGGTTATGCGTGAATATTCTGGCTGCTATTGTATGATGTTTCACTGGAATCAAATCTGGCAATGTGTACGACGTTTAATTTTCTTGATTCCTTTTTGTCGTAATTTAGAGTGTCTAGCCACAGGGTCTAAAGAACTAATCCCTTTTTCTCTGCTTCACGTTTATACTAAGTAGGAGAGTATGTGTCTATGCCATAAGATGTGATTTACACGTCAACTATACACTTGGCTAAGACCATGGCTAGTCAGACCTACACATTTTTTACTTGGGACTGATCGGGTAGGTAAAGTGAAATGTGACTTGTGAACCAGAGTGGTGTAATCGACATTGTCAAGGCTGCATCGAGAATTCCATGCATATCAACAAAAGCACTTTAAATTCAAAAAAATATTGTCATAAACCTTCGTTCTACCAACCTCAAATCGTAAATCGTACATGCAAAGACCCCAAAATTTCAAACAAACAAAATGCATACAACCAACCCATGCTGGACCCCAACAGAACAAGAAAAGAAGAAAAACTCAACAACTCCTTTGTACTCCAATCTTGCGCCACTGACTCCTTAGCGAATGTGATGCGATCGATCATCGCGTGTCCCGGGTGATTCTGCAGGTAGAGAACAAACTACTTGCAGCAGCCACAACGCATAATATCAATACAAGCCTAGTTTCTCTAGTTAAGCGTAAAGTCCAATATTCATACTACCATGTATGTAGCAGGTAGCAAAGCAAGCACGGCACGGCATGGCATGGATGCTGAAGGAAGAAAAGAAAAGGACTTACGCCGCTGCGACTCTTTCGACAATCACATGTAGTAGGCATTTGGGCCGGAATCAAGAAAGAACATGTGCCAGTCTGTGCACAATCGTACAACGCGGGCTTTGCCAGGGCTGTTTCCTCAGTCGGTGGCGAGAAGACGGCGACGCTTGTGGCGAGGGTAGCGAAAGCGAGGGGGAGAGTCAAGAAGAGCTTCATTGTTTTTTTTTGGATTTGGATTTGGAGATGTAGGTAAGCGAGTGTAGTGTAGTAAAGAGTGTGATGCAGTTGTTGCTGTGAATGAATGAATGAACGAATGAATGTGGCTGGCTGGCTGGTGCAGTGTGAGTAGATACTCACGCCTCTTATATACTGCGGTGCGGTATCGAATAGATTTCTGCGTCGCGTTGCCCAGACTATGCGGAGGGCTTGGTGTGCGTGGTGGTGGTTCAACCCGCTTCAAGCGTTCTCTATGCGCGCTAAGTTGTAGGTACTCACGTGGTCATGTGTGTGCATTGTTTACTGGCTTGTCCCGTGTGCTGAAGTAGCGCCGTTGTAATGCTACTGCGCTACGAGCATCAGACTCGGCAGTTGACACTCGTCGGTTGTCACTTATCGCATTGTGTGTAGAGATGATTTATTTTCTACGATGATTCTTTTTTTTTTTTTTTTTTTTTGCGAGTAGAATATATCCGAACCGCTAGTTTAGTATAAACAAACGCTCAGACCTAGCCTAGTGCCAACGCATGAAAACGGAGGTTGAACGGCCATGTTTGACGTTGAAAAAGCGGTCTGACTGAGCACCTGTTTCTGCTGTATACTCAACATGACAATTTACCACTGTCAACTCTCATTAAACTTGTACCTGTAAGTAGACCCTCTCCATCTGGTTGACTGGCGCGCTTGAACGTCACGTTACAGGATGCGTTTGACTGCACTCTTGGCGGCATTGAACACGACTACTAGCGTAGGAAGTAGAAGGTTTGTTTCCTGTGTTGAGAGAATGCATAGAGTAATTGTAGCCAAGTTTTACGGGATTACCTACGGCATTGTGTATGTTGTGACGCATATAGGAGCGCACGACAGATATAGAGAGGGGAAGCACTTACGATCCTGATAGGTAGTGGAAGCGTATGAAACGTATTGATGTTATGGAGTAGTAGAGCTCACGTAGTAGTTTTCAGTTGACATGTACGGTAGATAGCTGTCGCAGATTGAGAGAAACAAAAAAACTTTTCCACAAAAAGACACCCCTATTGCTCGCAACTCCCTTGGAGCTCTCCCTATTTGTAGACGTCGGGTCGCAGGCTATTCACTATCTCTCTTTTGTGCTGCAATCTCTAACTATCACTGCCACGATATACCATTCGTCCGAGTGCGTCTTTCATCTGAGTTGAAAAATGTGCAATACATATGGAAATAGATTATACTACAGACAATGGCTAGACTGTATAACAATACTATCAAACCACTCTCCTAGCAAGAATAAAGATTGTTATTACAACCTGCAAGAACTGCCCAGCCGGTTGCTCGTGTCGAACGGCTTGCCCAACGTGGTCCCGCGACTATTCCACTGTCTAGTTGCAGCAGCCACATCCGTTGTCAATGATGCATTTCTGATTCCGTTAGTATGCCAGCTGCCACCCCGTAGCTATGTAGTCGAAAACACGGGATGCTAAGTTGAAACTTACGCCGAAAACCTTGTGGCATGAGCACACAGGAGGGGAGTCATTGTGAGGAGTACTACCCGAACAGTTTCCTTCAAAATCTGGACCACAACCCCCCGCATTATTATGACTTTTGACTGGATCGCCTTGGGGTTTGGCCAGAGGGGTGCTCATGGCCAGTGTGGCGAAAGCGAGAGGGAGAGCGAAAATGGATAACTTCATGCTGAGTAACTGTGTGAGGAAATGACTGTTGAAGTTGGTAATGGTTGCAGTGGCTATTAATTTTGAATGATTTCGTCGGTTACTGCGCGAGACATCAAGTAACAATTGTGATTTTTATATACATGGAGAGTGTAGCCCCTGAAAGGGGGGTGCTTGTTGAACTCCCGGCCTATCCGGCAGCAATGTAACCAAAAAATTGGTGTTCTGTGGTGTGTATGGTGCGCTTATTTACAGTTTGGGGGAGGCTGTGTGGTTCAGTACATGCCGTCTGACCAAACCAAGTGCCAAGGCATGATATGCACCAATTGTAGAAGACGACTTCTCACCCAGTGTGGAAGACGCTATGACAGGCTAAGACTCTAGCGTGCTCAATGAGGCCTAGCCAAGACCCTCCAGTGAATTGAAGTAGAATTGGGCTCTCACATCTCAAGTGAAGAGGCATATTGAAAAAAAACACCTATTACTGCCTTGAAGTGTTTCTACCCACATTGGTGAAAGAGGTGTATTTTTGTAGTGGTCAGAGATAGATTTCAAGCAGTGTTGATGAAAATGATCAATGGAGTAACTTGAAAGGGCAGCAATAGATTTAGAGTTTACGCCCTTACAGGCGCTAGTAAGCTAGTGCATCAGAGATGTCAACAATCAAGCTGAGTCAAGCTCATTAATTAAGCTGGATTGACTCAACGGTCAAGCTGAGTCAAGCTAAGCTCATCAAGCTGTATCAAGCTGTATCAAGCTCGTCAAGCTCATTAAGCTGAGCTTGATAGAGCTTGATGAGCTTAATACGCCCGTGCGTAAAAAAAGAAGAATAACTATGAACTCCTTTACGTAGGCTACTAATCTATAGTAACGTTAACTCTTACCTCTATCTCTAATACTATACGTGTTAATTTATTATATATATCTTCTTATCTTACCAATTTCTTAATTGCAAGCATGCCACCAAAAAGACGCGTCCAAGCTATTGTTGCTACCCCACCGAAGCGGTCTCGGGGCGTGCCCCGCGGTACTCTAAGCCAGCCTATATCTATCGAAAGCCCGCCATCATCCTCTCGCTTATCACCTCGTCAAGCTCTAGTTGAAGCGTCCCAGGTATCGAGCTTCGAAGCGCGGCTGCGCGAAACGCAGGCTCGAGAAGCTATCATCCCACCCGCTGACGGCAGCGAGGAGGCAACGATAGCTTCTAACGAGCTTGCTAGTATAGGCTTCGACGAACACCTAG